TTTTTCATTTTATTAACTAACATTTTTATGTACTTGTTTCTTTTAGTCGGAACTTCTTTTGTTAATTTTCTTTCGGTTTAAAGTAAAATTTTCTATAGGAAATTTGCTAAGTTTTTACATTGTTGTTATATTGTTATATTGTTCGCAATTTTCATCATTTCTTTTTATTGTAAATTTTTTTTTTTTAATTCTTTCGATTCTCTTGGCCAGAGTTGACCCTTCCTTGCTTTTCTCTTGTCCGTTTCTCTTTCCTCTCAGTAAAAGATGAACTGTTGGTCGATACCTTTTGAATTCCTTTTAATACCCATTTCTTTGATTGCCAGATGATACTAACATTGATTGTGAATTTTCAAATCTTTCCCTTTCTTCTGGTTCCAAGTTTTGTCCGATTATCCGTCTTCGTTTCTTTATTGCTGGTTTCTTGACGTTCTTCCAGTTTATCGAAAAGAACTATCTTGTTGATATTTTGCAGCTCGTCATTTGGTAGGTTTTATAATAATTTCATAATCCTGAGAACACATGAATTGGTAATAAAGTAAAATTTTTGTTAATGATGCTAGGAGTAATAAAGTAAATTTTGAAATATATTGATTGATTAATCCGTATTTATTGATATTTATGAATAAATTTCCAATTATATTACCGTTATTATTGTTATTGTTATTATTATCATAACCATTATTATTATTAGCGAAATAATTGGTGGCAATGAGTGGATCGGACTTAAGCTTGTCCTCCGTAATCAAATATCAAATGTTCCAACATACCCGTAACTTTACATATTATACATAGTGTTGCAACATAATCACGATGCAGTTTGACCAATTTTCTATTCATATTCTCCCATTTTTAAAAACATTATTATTATTATAAACATTTAATATTTATTAAAATGTAATTATTAAACAAAACAAACACAAAAAATTTGAATTCATTTATCTATTCATAATCTAATTGCTGTAAATCTGCATGTTAACCATATCTCCATTTTCATCTATATCACTTTTTCTTGAAGGTGGTTGATATCCAAGATTTAATGCTTTTAAAAACGGATTTTATACAAGGCGGAAAGGTAATGCACACATAATAAACATCATAACTAAAGCTTTATTGATTGTTTTATGCGTGATTCTTCTAATCAACTGAACAAAAATAACCATCAATATGACGTTGTCCAGAATGTTCAGGAGTTTAGAAAATGTTGACTTTATAAACCCACAAATATTATGGAGAGACTAATTTCTTCCGCCTGTGGATACCCAGATGACCCAGATGCACCCGATCCGGTTCTAATCCCTATTTATTAATATATTTATTTACTAAAGGGTCATTCATTTTTTTATTTAAATTTTTTTTAATAAAAAAATCAAAAAGATTTAGCAAAAATGAACTACCAACAAAGTCTATTTTTTGTTTGAAAAACTTACTATTTATGACAAGCATCGAACAAAATTAATTGGCTTATGTTAAGGATTTACTACAAAGAGTTCTCAAATTTTAAATATCTCATCATCAGATTAATAACAAATTAACATGAATAGTTGTTATAAGTGAAAATATAGTAAATTGACGAATAAATAAATTTTTAGCAATTATTAAAACAAATCATTTGAATTATTGGTTGAATAATTAATTCTCTATAAATTTATATCGGTGCAACAAATATATGAGCGAACTTTATATACAAAGTATAATTTAAATAACGCTGCGTTATTTTAAAGATTTATAATTGTATTAAATAACTTTGAATAAATTTAATTATCATATAACATTAGATTATATAATCTTTTCGACTGAATTCATAAAAATTTTGTTTATTTATTGACTATATCTCCAACCGTACTTACAAACAAAATGTAAAATATAAAAAAGTTTAAATATAAAAAAATTGAAAAAAATAAAATTGAAAAAATTGATGTTGTATTACTATTTATTACGAATAATGAACTATTGCATTAACAACAATGTTTAATATCTGTTATTGTTATTGTTATTGTTATATAGAAAATTTTGAATATTTCGAAGTTGAAATACTATGTAAATAAGTAGTGGCAGTTGATCATTGTTTTGATGAACATTTTGACCAATAAAACTATTGTTCAGATAATTGATGCTTGTAGTAATAGATGGATTCTGGCCAATGATATCACTGCCATCACCGTCAACCACGCCAGTGAAGCCTTGATCAACGAAACTATTATCGACAATACACGAGTTTTGGTTAGTGAAATTAATTTGATGAATTAAATTACCGTCTCCAGAGTTTTGATCAATGTAATTATTTTCGACAGAGTTCTGGCTGTTTTGGTGACCGAAATTATTCTCTTCAGGGTTTTGATAAATATAAATATTGTCTCCGGGGTTTTGATGAATATAATTATTGTCTCCAGAGTTTTGATGAATGTAATAATTACTGTAGTGGTATCCAGCGACTTGATTGTCGTAATTGTTGTAATTATTAGGAACAAAGTCTTGATTATTAACATTAACATTATCGTTAGAACCGATATTATTATTATTATCTTCAGAATAATTTTGATACATTTTTGGTTTTTTATTATGAATTTAGTTTTTTGTTATATATTGGTTATAAATTTATTTATTGAGCTTATTTATTAATTATTATTATTTGTTTTTTAAAAACAAAATTTTCATTTTCATGAATAAATGTGTATTTTATATGTAAAAAAACAAAGAAAAGAAACTTTTTGATATTGTTGTATATGAATTGAAGCTATGCAGAATTGAAATCTATAATAATAATTAAAATTTTTGATGGGGCGTTTGGATATGAAATTCTGATTGACTAATTTGAATGCAAATCAAACAGTTGACGACTTTATTATTAGCTAACTTTTATTTCAATTTTAATATTCGGTATTACAAACAATAATAATGTACAACACAAAATATCAGAGATAGAGGATATCATTACAAAAATTTTATTGGAGAAGATTCATTTGTTTGGTGGAATCAATCTTGCTGTACAAGCAAGAATTTACATCAGCTGGAAATGTAAATTTTTTTGGGTGACGATCTCCGTAGAATATGTTTTTCTATATATATTATTATTATTATTATTATTATTATTATTAACAGGAGACCGTTTTGGGAACACAAAATTTTAACCCATGCCATTTGTTGATTGACCAATTAAAATCACGAATTTGATAAACGTAGAAATAAATATTATGGGTTTGATTCAAACAGTTGACGACTTTATTATTATAGCTAACTTTTATTTCAATTTTAATATTCGATATTACAAACAATAATAATGTACAACACAAAATATCAGAGACAGAGGATATCATTACAAAAATTTTATTGAAGAAGATTCATTTGTTTGGTGGAATCAATCTTGCTGTGGAAGCAAGAATTTACATCAGCTGGAAATGTATTTAGTAATAGTAAATTTTTTTGGGTGACAATCTCCGCAGAATATGTTTTTCTATAATCTTTATGGTATAGATATATTAATATATTACAGTATTATTAACACAAAATTAACAGGAGGGAACACAAAATTTTTCACGAATTTGATGGTTTTACATTCTGTGCAACGTTTAATTTCAGGCAATTTTTCTTCGAGTAAATCGTATTATGAAAGTTGTGGGATTCAAAGGGATTCAAAAGATATGATAACAACAAAGTGTAAAGCTTCAAGTTTGTGTAATTATTTGCACATGATTTATTGTAAGAATGGGCTACATGATACCCTTGTAAAAGTATTTTAAACTGTATAAAAAAAATTGAAATCAATTGTGAAAATCCATTCCTTATATAGGACGGTCTCTCCTGTTGGCTACAGCAGTAGACATGTCGATCCCGTGAAATTACGGATGACTGGTAACGTGCATAAATTTGGATTTTTGAGCCCAGATCTACATATAAATTGACACGTGATTTACCCACCCTTAAAAAAAATTTGACAATTTACTTTGGATGAAAGTTTCAGACCACCTTTGAGACTAGAAAAATCAAAAAAAAAATAATGATAAAATTTCACATTCCATGGGATTTCTCTTAATGCCCAATCTGTTAAAAATACAAGATGGTTAATACAATGTTGTGAATGTAATAAAAACAGAATATTATATTCAAGGTATAAATTAAAAAAAAAAATTTAACTAGATTTTTGGATAGTATATACTATTCAATGATAAAATTTCACATTCCATGGGATTTCTCTTAATGCCCAATCTGTTAAAAATACAAGATGGTTAATACAATGTTGTGAATGTAATAAAAACAGAATATTATATTCAAGGTATAAATTAAAAAAAAAAATTTAACTAGATTTTTGGATAGTATATACTATTCAATCTGTTAAAAATACAAGATGGTTAATACAATGTTGTGAATGTAATAAAAACAGAATATTATATTCAAGGTATAAATTAAAAAAAAAAATTTAACTAGATTTTTGGATAGTATATACTATTCATGTGGAGATTCCTTTGAGGATTTCAAAAGAACGACCTGATTCTGGAAATGCAATTGCAAATAATTCAAATAATATTAATGGAATTTCTTCACTTAACAATAGTTCATCATCTAATTTTAATATGAAAAGGAGTTTCACTGAATTGGAAGAAGATAGTGAAAATGATACAATATGCTCAGATTATAACGGATCAATTGAAAACCAATCAGGATTATTTGACAAAAATGATGTTTTAGAGATCATAAAAAAAATTAGGGTTAATGACTTGTTTAATTTGCAATAGTCCAATGGAAATTCATCTAATTTATTTCAAGAAATCTGTTTTTCTTGTGGTTTAAAGGAACCACCAGTAAGTACAACTTATGTAAAAGATGAATTTTATTTTTATTGTAATGACTGTGAATTAATTATCACAAGAAAGAAAAAAATAACCAAAATATATATCATGTGACATTATAACAACTTTTACATAAATTTTTTTGGGAATTCCACCAACAAGTAAAAATTTTATTTGTGTGGCCTAAGCAGTATATGAATGAATGAATAAAATATACTAGATTTCTTTACATCTAAAATCTTGATCTAGAGTTGCTATTGCTGCTCCAAGACACCATCCAGCCTCTATTCCTATTATTTTTTTGGCAATCTTTATTTCTCTTTCTAAAGGCATTTCATAACCAGTATGTAAAAGCTCATAAATAAATGTTAAATCCATACAATAATGTGGATCCTTTTGAAGTTCCTTCATAGCTTCTGGTAAATGAGAAAATTTACCATAATTTCCTGAACAAACTTGATCAGTGAGATCACGAAGTTCTTTTAAAGTAAATTCTGATGGAGTTCCCAATGGACTTATACGGTCATAGAAATATGAAAAAGCATAAATATCATGCATTGGAAATGTTTCAGTAAGTGATGGCTGATATATACCATTGAAAGAACATGGCGATAATGAACATTTTTTATGTTTGTTAAGTATTTGTTCTGCTATAAATCTACATTGAGCATGACCACCACCTGTACCAATAATTTTAACCGAACCACCAAAATTAGTTCCCCATAGCTCAGTATAATTTACAGGTAAACAGGGATGTGGAATAAGATGTTTATCATATTCCTTATCGCCAACAATGTTTTCATGCCATAAATTTGCCGTGAAATTTTTAATTTCCCTTCTTGCCTCCATCAATCCATAATGTAAATAAGAGTGTTGGTATAAAATATATTTATGTCCGCCATACTGTAATTCATATCTATGTTCTCCAGCTGGCACTTCAAAATCATCTGTTGTTTCAGGCTCAAAAACTATTTCAGTTGAAGCACCTCCAAGGTCAAGAGTTGCAACTGTAGGTAATTTTTTTGGCGAGCCAACTTTATTTAATAAGTAATTAACTGTAATCCACCCATAAATACCTATTTATTTAATTATTTAATAAAATAAATTATAGATCTAGTTATAAATATAAACAGTGAGTTAGTTAGTTAAAAATAGAAGGAAATCATAATACCTTCATCTTTACCATCCATAATTACCACTCCATCTTTTTCAATTGGAAAAGGATATTTCTTTTCTAAATGATTTCTGACGGCTTCTAATATACGTTCACTTTTTCCAGCTCCTAACAAACGTAAACCAGCAGTAGCTTTAACTGCCACTGGTGTACAATCATGTAACTCTTTGGGAACATTTTCAAGTGCAACTTTCAATAATCCATCCAAGCTTCTTGCTGCTTTCTTAGGATTATTAACATATGCAGAAAGGCCAGGTTCGATTTGGGCAAACACTTCATCCTCTAATTCTGGTGCTGATTTACAATAGTTAAACTTATAAACATGAATCCGAGATCCTGTAGAACCCGCATCTATCATTAATGCATATTGGATGAGTGGATGTCCAGGATGTGGTATAGTACAATGTGAGGATTGTAAATGAGGTGAAATTACTGTCTCTTCCTTTGGCAATTTCTCTGGAATTTTGGTGGTTTTAGAATCTAAAAGGTTTATTTTAGTGTTTGCTAGCTTTTGTTCAGCTTCGAGTGAATCATTCGTTAGGAACAAGATGAATTTTTTTTTTCTTTACCTGGAAATCCTGGTGCAAACCCAATTCTTTGCCCATTTGGAATAAAAGTCCAAACAATGAATATAATAAGTAAAAACGCTATAATTCTGAGGCCAGGAAAACCTTTAATAAAGATTATTGTCATCATTAGATTTAGTGAGGTCCAGAAAATTTTTTTTTAAAAATAATGAATTCGTAAAAAATTAGGAGATTTAGCTTCCGCAGTATAATTTCTACGGTGCAGATCATCTATAATTATTAATTGCTTATAATAACTTCAAAACACTAAAAACAAAAAAAATTTATCTAATTTTAAAATTTAACCGATAAGTTTTATTGTTCATGACTCAAGCTTCAGAACTTATCGGCTGTTTTTTTTAACTGAAAATTGGCTGAGCCTTAGCATTTTGAAAATTCCGAATTTTGTTATACACTTGATAAATTGAGACCAAGTAAATTTCAAATATAAGGATGTTTAACGAACATATTACATTAAAAGAAAATCATTACCAAATTTGGTCATGAGATTCAAAATATTGTAACACGAAAATTATTGTTGCACTTCTGAGCATAACTTTCAAATTTAAAAAATCTATGAAAAAGAAAATTTGAGACAAATTTTTTTTTTAGATTAATAGACTCCCTTTTTAAAGCCGAATTGAATGGTGGTGAGTTTTTAAAAATCCAATGTGTGGATCACATAATATTTCAAAAATTTTAACTTTTGAGTATAGATGATCCGCACTGTATATTTGGGAAATAACCTAATTTTTTTATGAAAATCATAAATTTTTGTGGCTCAAATAATAAAATAAAAAATACTTTTTTTTCTCACAATTTTTTTCTTTTTCAATACAAAACATCTTTTTATTCACTCCATTCACATCAAAGCTCTTGAAAAGTATACGATAATGGATAAATTTGTTATTTGTGAAAATAAAGAAAAAAGTAATAAAGGATCCAAACAGGTAGCAAATACACAAGGGTGAAAAAATAAATGAAATAACCAGACAAGAAATAAATAAAAAAGATACGTGAAGATTTTGATCCAAATTGGTTAAGAGTTTGCCCTTGGCTTGAAAAAAATGAAGATATTAATGAAAAGGGTGACAATGTTTTGCGGCTAATGTAAAAATGCAAAAAAGAAACATATTTTTACAACAGGTACACAATCATACCGAAAAGTATATTATTTGATTATTTATGTAAATTATATGTAAAATTACCCGCACATTAGCTTGCTAATAATGTGTGGTCAACGCACTTTAATATGATAATAATGTGCTAGTACCGCACACAATTTCGGGTTCAGATTTTAGACACTGTTCTGGTTGGAAGTATATTAATATGGAGTCCTGATTACCGGATTCAATTTGCACGTATTAATATATGTATTGGATCAGCCAGGTTCGCGATTTGCCAGTGAAGGATACTATATTTGGATGGACCGATTAGTTTAAGCTGGAGAGAAAAAAAGAGTATCATAAAGACTTTTCGTTAATGTTAGAGTCTCTTGCCGAAACAAGATCACAATATATTTCATTTATCTTTTTTTTTACATGTCGTGTATATATATATATATATTTCTTTTTATTCAAAAACAAAAGTTCAATGTCATCATCACAAGGCATTTTTTAAAAAGTCATAGATTTTCATCTTTTCTTTTCTCTTATACACATATATAGATTTTGATTCTTTTACCTTACAAATAATGCCCCAATTAAAATTATCTAAATCCTATCATCACTGTAATTCATAATAACATGGATATTAATTATTATTTTGATGTTGGTAATAGTTCTGTTAATGGTAATGATAATAATAATAATTGCAGTGATATTAATGAAGAAATCAACAATATTAATAACAACAGCAATAATAACAACGATCATATTATTAATAATAATGTTATTTAAGCAGTCTTAGATAGCAACATAAAAAGTCTGTGCTACATATAAAACAAATAACAGACATTTGAAATCTATATATATCAAATAATAAGTAATATTTCATAGTCTCTCTATTATAATAATTTGCAAGTAAGAATTAATTAATGATATCTTTATTATTATTGTTGTTGTTATTTTTTTCTAAAAAAGATTAATCATGTCCCCATACTTTTAACAGTTTTATCAAATCTACAAGTTATCAATAATTGTCATACCATAATCCTCTAGCCAGACTCTTATGACCATGTAATTTCACAACAACTTTATTTGTCACGACATCAAAAGTTTTGATAATAGAATCAACACCATAAGTGAAAAAATATTTACCGCCAACAATGATTAGGATTTGTGAACTTTCTGTTGTCAGATATATATCATCATAGTAGTTGTAAATTTGTTATGCAGAATGTGTACAAAACAACATGATTCATCCATTCACATCATCTGTCGATTCCAAAAAATATTTTCCGTCGTATTATTAGGACTTGAGAAATGTCCATTTGAGTAAAAGAAACCCAATCATCATCATCATTAACATTCATGTTATATTTCTTATCTTCAAAATTATTTAAAGTTAATGTAGTAAAGGTAATCATCATTGCGTACACCAACTGTAATGTATTGTACAAGTGTTCGCTTTGTCTGGTTTTGTTGCAGCATGCCTTCGTATGTAGGTAGATAGGTAAACTACATTGTGTGATTCAGAATAATATTAATGTATGTATATTATATAGGCCTTTTTATAGAGGAAAATCATGATGTAATTTTAGTATTAAGTAAAGTGGGTACGGTTTCTATACCATATTAATATCCTTGTGACGTTGATGCGGCATTAAAAAGATTGATTCGGGACCAGGTGTCCAATAAAATAACATTTATTAATCAAACCTACTACTTTCTTTCAATTTTGATTGGTCTTCTCTCCTTATGGTGTTTGTTACACCTTACCAGAAAAAGATAATGCTTTGATAGGGAGAGTCATCAACATATATTAATGTAGCAATTTTATACAACAATAGCAGTAATAAAAAAACCGATGATTCAAGTAACGATGACTCAATCTCTATTTATTATTGCTATTTTTTATTTAATATCGTGTAACCTTATCCTTGAAACAAATAAAGGAATTCTTGAACTATAAGCCCCCATATTTATTATTATTGTGTACACACTGTGAGAAAAATTATTTATAAATGATGATAAATAATCTTTTCTTAAAAAAAAATTTGGCTTCGATTTTTCACCATTCACAGCCTCATATTTTTTTATTATTTTTGAAATTTATCTTGATTGATTTTCCTAAAAAAAAATCATTCGGAAAAGATTATTCTTTTCGATTTTATATTTGTTTATAAATATACCTAAATATACACTGTAAATATTTAATGAAACCATTAAAATTGAAACCATTGAAATCATCATGATAAAACAAAATATCATTTTTACATTATTATTATCATGTATTTTAATTCAAGGTACAACAACAATCTTTATATTTTGGGAATTTTTTATCAATTATTAATTGTATATTTATATATTTATTATTTTAGGAGCATTTACACAAAATCAATATTGTGATAATAATTCGCAATATTGTATATCAGTAGATGTACCTAATACTTCGGCACAAACTTATGCAACATTTAGATTGGAAGCTCCATCGACTATTGGGTCCGTCAAATCAATCAATCTATCCTTCTTTCTTTCTTTCTAGTAAAATCATAATTATAATTTGCAAACATTACACATAATATATTTGTAGATGGATGGGAATAGGAATTGGTGATAGTATGCTTGATAGTTATTTGGTGGTAATTAATTAATTAATTAATTATATAGTTTTTAATATCATATAAATTCACAACAAAATAATCCACTCACTCACTCACTCATTCCATCCGCCGTTCGCCCACCCACCCCCATTCATAAATACATGCACACGCACAGTTAGCATGGCTTCGTACAGACGGAAAAGTTGCATTATCACAACGTGTTGCAAAAACCTACGCGGTGCCTACAGTAACAGATCGACAAGCAGATCTTGAATTGGATCCAACCAGTGGAATCCAAACTAACAATAGTAGCGATGGTAGCAGCAAATTAGTAGTGATTTTCAAACGTCTAGTGTCGGTACAAGATTCAACGATCGCTTCAAATTTCATTTGGGCTGTACATACTAGCAACCGACCACCCGATGATCCTTTCACCATGGAAATTACTGAACATTCTTCACATGGAAATATGGCATTATCATCATCTCCTCCTATAAGCAAACGTGTTCTGTTTCTCATCATACACGGTAATTATTCGAGGGTGGATATAAATTGGTGTAAAAATGGATATATATAAAAATGAACATATAATAATATATAACTTATATATAATCACAGTGATAATAGAATAATAATGATAATGATTATTGTTATTTATAATTATTTTAAAAGGTTCGTTGATGTTTGCAGCGTGGGCAGTAGCGGCACCTTTAGGTGTATTTTTCGCAAGATTTGGAAGAAACGTTTTACCTAAACGTTGGTTCAGTCTGCATTGGGGAATTCAAGCCTTGTTAGCTTTGCCATTAACAGTTATCGGTTTCATTATGGCATTCCCTTCGGGTGCAAGTTTCACTACAAGAAATAGTCATCACGTAAGTAAAGATAATTTTAAAAGGAGGAGGAGAAGAAGGAGGAGAATGATGATTAAATGTAATTTTATATATTAAAAGATTAATGGTCTTTACTATTTAGTTCCTAAATTGATTCCCTAATTGATTCCTTATTAATTCCTTAATAATTTCACATTCATCCCATTGATAGGTTATTGGAATGGTGATCTTGATTTGTTTATTTGTTCAACTATTGATTGGCGGTATACACCATCACATGTACGATCCAAATCGTAAATCCATTCCATGGTGGACAAAACTTCATTGGTGGTTTGGTAGATGTTTGGTTTTATTGGCACTAGTGCAAATCTCACTTGGTCTAGATTTATATGATGTCAATCCGTTCCTTCTTGACGCTTATTACGTTTATGCGGGAAGTTTGGTGTTTATATATTTGGTCATGTCGTTTCTTTTTTGGAACAAACGTCGTAATCAAATTCAAAAATATGGAAAGTCTAGTTTTATATATACCGGAATTAAAAAACAAGAGGATTATGAAGACGAATTTGATGGTTAGTTATATATGTATAATGTGTATGTGTGTGTGTATATATATATATATATAAAGAGAGAGATAGAGAATTAGGAGGAGTGGGTGAAGATTAGAGATTTTTTAAAAAAAAATTATTTGTTTTCTTTTTTGTATTTTATTATTAATTTGACAAAAAAATTTTTTTTTTGTGTAGGAGTTTTTTTGAATAAAATGACACAGGAAGTTACATAAGCTTTTTACATTATGTAATATTATATAACTATATATGTATAAATTATATATCATTATCCACTATCATTACTATTTTATTGTATACATACATATAAACTTTTTTTTAGGAAAAAATCAACTTTCTATTAAAAAATGATTTTATTTTATTTTATTTTATTTTATTGTTTTTTGAAAGAGGAAAAGAAAGAAAGACGAAATGAATGAATGAATGAATGGTTGAATGGTTTAATGAATGAAAATGAAAATGAAATTTGTTGTACATCTTTTTAGATAATAAAGTAAATAGTATAACAATACAGTATAATAATATAACAATATAATAATAATATAACAGTATAATAATATAATATAATAAAAAAATTACCCATAGCTTAATTAAATTAATTAATTAATTAATTCTTAAATTAATTTAAAACCTTATTGCATAATTGGAAAAAATCCTGCCAATAAAAATATAAAATTACTATTATAGAGTATGAATGAAAGATTTTCCACTGCCGCCCACCATGTCTAACATCTAAAAACAACGTCTAACATTAATATTGTCTCGAATAATAACTACCTTTTCATCGTGAGGAATCCATTGAAGATAATCATAAATTACTATATATCGATATTTTGGTGTGCTATTATTAATCAACTCATCCAATGTTTTGTTGCCTCTGCTAATTTATTGATTGGTAAGATTAGGAAAATAAAACTCTCGGCTGGTGTAAAAAGCCTGAGGATGTTGTTTGGGAGGAGTATAAGATTTATTGTGTTGTCTGCTAATCAACTTCCACCTTTCATCTTCCGCTTTAGAAAAATCTATAGAAATATCCGTTTCGTTTGGATTGTCACACATATCATAAATCCAATCGGAAAATATTTTCGTCAACTCTCTAGCCGTAGGTCTTTGGTCTGGTGATGAATGCCAACATCTCTCCATCAAATCTTTATAATATTTTGGCATGTCTCGTATTCCTTCTGGTCGTAAACCTTTGCAAATATCAATTGCCAATTGTTCATCATGTGCTCTATCACACCATGGCTTTACACCTGATGCCAAGGTCCACATTGTTATTCCAAAACTATAAATGTCGGACTTTCGTCTGAAATAGCAATAGTCTTGATCGTTATAATCGTAGTCGTCAGAAGATGGAAATTTAGTAGAAGTGTTGGACGATAACATCAATATTTCGGGAGCAACAAATGGTAAAACGCCATAAATCTTGTTGTCTTTTCTTTTGAATGATAAATCATTACTGACAGGCCCATAAAATCCCACATCAGCAAGTTTTGCATCGGTTGAAACATTTTCCTCTTCGATTAACAAATTACCACCATGAAGATTACCATGAAACAAATCTTGGGAATGGATTTTCTCCAGTCCACATGAAATATCCCACAACATGTCGATCATATCTCTCCAACTGATCACACCCTTGACATAATTCAGGTATTGGTACAAGTTACCATTCTCGTAATACTTCATTACAAACATATAACACGACGTCGAGTCTTTTGTTATGCCAAAACAATCCGCCAATGAGCCACATTGCAAACAATTTAAATATTTTTTTACCTATAATTAATAATTTGCGAGAAAGACAGAATAGAAGTAGGAATTTATAGGATGTATAAATACAGGGTGTATATATGTCAAACATAAATAAAAAAATAAAAAAATAAATAAATAAATTACCTGGTTGATGAATTCAACTGTAATGGAATTGAGATTATTGAATCTTTTTAAAGCAACTTTAGTTGGACCAGTTCTGGTGTAATCTTCAGATGCCTCATCATAGATCCATTTTGGACCTTCTAACCAAACTGCAGAATAGATCGCGCTGTAGCCACCCTCACTCTTAAATTGTCTTAATTCGATATTTTCAAAAGGAATCCATTCCAAATAATTACAGCTTGACGTCGCCGTCAATTGTGTCTCTTGGATCAACTCATCAATTAACTTATTTCCACTTGTCCAATTTATAAATTGTTGTCTTAATTGATTAATAGAGCAAGCTCTACACCAGCTATTTAGCGAGGCAAATTCTTTTCCACAATCTGGACATCTATTATTACCATCTTCATCTTGTTGTTTTTGACTTCCTTCTGCCTTTCGTTGCTGGTGCTCTTGACTTTGATGATGTTGCTGTTGCTGTTGCTGTTGCTGTTGCTGCTGGTACGTCCCTCCATAATTATTTGTGGTGGTGATGACATTATTATTATTGTTGTTGTTGTTGTTAATACTGCTGACGAATGGGTTGCTCAAGTTATTATAATTATTTTCGCTAATAATAACAATATTATTGATATTATTATTATTATTTATATCACTATTATAACTATTACCATCACTATTGTTATCACCATCGCCGTCACTACTACTATCTGTGATGTCAATATAGTTTGTATTTGGATGATTAGCTAAGGACATTTGATCTTTGCCACCCCTCATATTCATTAGGCCTTTCAGTTACTTTTTATGGTTAGAGTTAGATTTTTTAATTTATGTGTGTTACCAAAATAGAGAAATCCTTTAGAACAAATAAATCCTTCTTTTTTTTTCTTTAAAAAAAATTCCAATCAAATAACTAAATTGCTACTACTAATATTACCAAGACTACTACTACTACGACTACTACTAGTGGTACCACAACTATAATTATAATTATTAATACTCAAAATCACAAACAAATATCTATAATTAATAATTCTGGTAAGAACGTAAAACTTCATTAGCTCAAATCCAAAAAGTGAAAAATGCGATTGTTTATATTTTTTTCAAATTTTTTAAATTTTTTAAAATGTTAATAAGCAATAAAGTATTCATTCACGTAAATATAATAAAAAAATTTTATAATTAAAAATATATTAAATTGTTTCAGCAAGCATGTTAAGAATTAATTAATGCATATTTATACTAAATTTTTTGTTTATCATTTAGGAGATTAAATGATCAATTAATTCAAATTCACCAAACAAAATACGAAAAATGGATTTATTAAACAGGAAAATTTTTTATGATAAGTATCTTTTTGTTGTTAAATATAAATTAGATAAATATAAACAAACCAACTTTAAACAGATTAAGGTTTGATAAAAATCAAAAAATCAAATTCTTTTTTAAAAATAAATAAATTCAAGAAGAAAGATAATATACTAATTTGGGTCATTTGATTAAAACTTTTGCTTTGTTTACAATGAATAATTTCAAAAAAACAATAACAATAAAGTGCGTAAGTTTTATAAATAAATATGGGCAAATAAATAAACATATAGTAAAGGCCTTTCTCCAAATGGATTAATTGGATAATTTTTTGAACAACTATCCCAATATTGATTAATAATAATAATGAATGACGTATGAATCATTTTTTGTGGAAAGTTGTATTATCATTATCATGAGACAAACAAACAATGAGCGTAAAAAAAAAATACACAATAAACAATATAAATAAATCAATAATAATAATAATAATAATAATAATAATAATAATAATAATAATAATTAACTATCTAAAAATTCAACTCTCTATATATAAATAAACCCTCTTGGAATATTTTTTTTTGTGAATAACGACACAAAGAGAAGGATGCGTAAAATTAATACTTGATAGATAGATAGATAGATTGATAGATTGATTGATTGATTGTCGATTATTGTTGATTGATTGATTGATTGATTGGAAATTTTGGAAATTTAAAGAAAGATTTGACAATTTAAAGATTGATTAATGATTTCATCTGTTATAAAAAACCAATAATTTTTCCAAAAAATCATCATTATATATAGATAGAGACTTAATACAATCATTGTCAACATAAAACTATAGTCCTTCCAAAAAAATTTTCCTATAAAGAATGTGGGAATTATTAGTGCTTCCAAATGGAAATCCGTAGCTGTTACCGTGGTGTAACCTCGCGAAAAGTTCCCTTCTCAACCAAATTGATTTCAAAGATTGATTGATATATTTTTTATTGTTCCAACTTACATATTAATGAAATTACATCTAATCAAACTTTCAGGATTTTTCAGGATGACGCAACTCTTTGTTCGATTGGTTCATTTAGAAGCAATAATAATAAATGTTTATTGCTCAAACCACTTTAGTCCAATAAATGGAATTGTTCAATTTAATAGATAGATATATAGATAGAAAGAAGGCATTCAATATTTTTTTTATTAGTATACAAGTAAATCTTGCATTTCAACGGCACAAACGTAACACAAGTAGTTGTATCACATGATCAAAACAAACATGACTATGACCAAATTGACATTGGCTGATGGCCATAAAATTCCTTCTTTTTATGTGAAATGTTATCTTATTGGTTGTTTTTACTGTGATATCCTTTTAAACTACTCTAGAAGTGAGTATGTCGCGTATGATGCTGTTATCACCGTCGATCATCAATTATTTGAGGTTATCATTTGATGTTTTTAGTAGTAGTGAAATAACTGCGACTTGATGATTAGTGGTAGTGTAATTCTGCCATATTTTCTCCAAGTAGAAGGCCTTGATTAGCACAATTCTAAGCCCAATCCTACTTTTTTTTTTCAATTCTGTCGCTACAATTATGAAATTGCATAAATTCTTTAATACTAACTAATATAAATCTACTGCATGATTCAAAAGATAGCAAGATTGACCCGGTTTATTTATCCAGTTTATTAAATCAACCGCATTTGATTGTGTTTCACTCGCTAAAGTTCCTTTATTTCATTTCGTTGAGGATATTTTAATATTAATGGTTTATCACTCACGCCATTCCATTGCATAAGTAACTCAGTAAACTTCTTCTTCCTAAACGGGTTTGATATATAAATGGCTTTGATCAAGCTGTTTGTATATTTTCTATGTTCTTCTTCTTTTATATAGGAGAAGGTACCACTACTTATTCTGTTATTAAAATAAATTAATAGGTGTAGTGTTTTTTCTTCAATATATTCAATAAAAATAAATGATGTTATTTCTTCTTCAGTAGTATTAATACTATCTTGTAATTAATTAATAATATGCATCTTGGTTGATGTTTTGTTAGTCATTGTTATCCTTGAACAATTTCTGTACTATATATCATTGTTGCAGTTACTAATCTTTTTCAATGCCTCTCCCAATAAGACCTAAAGTTTTGTTTGAACGGTACGATAGCCAGTGATTCCGCGAGTATTATGGATTGTTTACAAATATAAAATAAGTTCCGTAAATAGAACTATTATAGTTTAATAAAGCATGACATTAAAATTTTAGCACCTTCATAGATTCTGCGAATCTATTTGTTTATTACATTGCTAGATAATTAATAAAAAAGCGCTTGTCCCAACTTTGTTTTTTAATATTAATACCAATACTAATATTTGGATCAGAGATCTCTTGTTATTTTCATTTGTTAGCCAATCAAATTCTAATGATTACTGTAAATTTGTAGTACAAATCTATAGCGCAGTGTGTAACCATACCTATACTGATCGAATTTTGGGATATTGCCTGTCGAATATATTAATATGATTTCGATTAATAAAAATATGAATTCTATCCCCTCCATAATTATCAAATACACAGGTAAACTTTCTTTCAATCAATTATTTAGAGTACTTGATAATATAAATAAATGTCTTGTGCAAAACTCTATCAAAATTTGGTACGAGATTCACATTTTAAAAATGTATTTTATTAATCTCGATATTTAAAGTTACAAAAAATTTTAAACAAAATATATATTAGGTATACAAAAAATTTTTATAAAATTTTGAATATATTCCAACATAGAGTGAACCAAGCTTTTAAATGAGCATGCATGACCTGTGCGCCACGCTTCGATTCCAATTTATGTGATGCTCGGCAACTATTACCAAGTTCTTGGATTTTGCCGTCACTTCCTGGACGATCATGATCAATAGAAAGATACTACGTATTTTTTTAAATTGTCTAAACATTCATTTATCATGTTGTTTTGTTGCATATCTAATGATAAATATATTAATTTTATGATTTTTTTTCAATAATATTATAATATTACAATGAATACCATCAATAAAATCAAATTAAAAAATATGTATTATGTAAATTTACAATTTATAATTATTTATCCGATTGTCTAATTACTACTAATATTATTACTAATACTAAAAACAGTTTTTTAATTGTGACATACTCCATGATTTTATTTGTGTAACATATTTATTTTATTAACAGGATCAAAAACTTGTTGATCTCAATGGCCAAATAAAAAAAGTTCTTTCAGACGAAAATAAACGAAAATAAAATGATAAAAAAAAGGCTCTTCAAATTAAATAAATGATAAAAAAAAAAAAGGTTCTTCGAGTCGGGTGAAAATAAAAAAAGTTTTTTCGAAATAAACCAAAGATATTGCTAGTTCTTCATTGTTACTATCTATAATTATCATCATCATCGCTACCAATAATATCCATGTTTCCATTATCATCACTGTCGTTATGTTCTTATGTTTTCAACCCATAATTTTAATTACTGCTTTTCTTTACTGCTAAGAATACCGATCACTTCGTCATAATCGATTCCACTAGAACTTCTACCGCAATAGATTTCTCGTTCCGTTCCTCCTCCTCCTCTTCTTCTTCGCTAGAAACTTATCTATTGTTCGTTGTCGTTGCATTATTATCATTATCATAATTACTACCAGTACCGCATTCCCATTACCGCCACTTTCCTCCATATTATCACCTTCCAGCACACCCTCATCGTTCCTTCCATTAAAAAGTTCTTTTCGAATTAGGCCAAAGATAAGCAAAAGATAAAAAATGTTTTTTCGAGTTAGACGAAAGATAACAAGAAATAAAAAAAGATAAAAAATCCTTTTCAAGTTAACGACAAGGGTACGAAAAGGGGCTTTTTAGTTGTTATTATTTAGAAGACGAAAAGAGTTTTTTTAGTTATTATTATTCAGAAAAGACTGTTGCTTATGTATTCTTATATGACTCTAATTATTCCTTAAATGAAAAAGTACACAGCGACAATGGATCTCGATTTAACGGATAATTTGTCTGTTAAGTATAGAATATTCAAATAATAAATCACATGATATCTGTTATCTGCTTCAATTTTTGAGGTTACTACAGTTTTAGAGTCTCGATTGATTAGATAATTTTTACTTGGTAAATTATTATCGTTTCGCGGATGGATTGTTAAAATAATTCTTGATTACCCCACATAAAGCAATACCCATACGAATGCCTAAATTATTTTGCATCTTCTCATCAATTTTCAAAAAATTTACAGCAAGATGGAAAACCTTCTTTTGAAGGATAGCCATGGCTTTACACAAAGAGTTCCTTTTTGATGGTGCAGTTTAATAATAATAATATGATTTTTTAAAAACGGTTTGTTACACAATTCGAATTTGTCACATTTCAAAATTGAGTGAGACATGATCAAAACAAAACAAAAACATTCTTTATCCAATCCCATTGAAATTAATGCTTAAAAACGACTTTTAAATGGCTTTAAAGAGATTCCTAAAATCAATTCAAAACCCCACAATTCAACTCCAGTTTAACTCCGGCAGCAAGAAAAAAAAATTATATTTTTTTTTTGATGGGTGAAATTAACCGAGTTATCACAGTCAAATCTGCCCACATGAAAATTAAACACATCTGTAATATTTTGCACATAAATATTCCGTTCTTTTGACCGCATGCATGATTTTCTTTCATTGATTACTTACTATTTGCTATCGGATATTTTTTTGTGTCTCCGTTTTACCCCCAATATCCTTTCATTTGAAAATAACTAATTCAATCTCCTTATAAATGCAAATTATTCTCCGTTTTAACAGTCAAGATTTTCATGCACATACGTCAATCCTCCCTTGACATGTTTTATTAATTTGATCCCTAATTTTCAAAAAATAATCCGATCACATACATTATTTCCTTAATAAAAAATATGCATGATCTATCTGTTGAATGTCCTTAAAAAACTCTATTTTAAAATGCCGCATGAATTACGACATTTATTATGACGTCATAGGTCATAGGTCCTTTATCTTTTTTTGACATCACTGTACTTTCTTGACCTCACCTTTTTTTTTCAAGATAATGGATAATACTATATTCATCATATCATCATGATGAAAAAAATTCGCTGGATTATTAATATTTAATATTATTAATACGAATCATTTGATCTTTCTCGGTTTAATAATAGCGTAAATTATTTCTATATACAGTCACAAGATTTTTTTCTTTTCTCACACATTAAATTTAAGAACTTGTCATGTTTCATTTATTGTATAGAAAACAACATGCATGTCAATTTTAATTTGAATTCTAGACAAAACAAGGGAAGCTGATGTCCGAAAAGCATTAAAACGCTAAATTAAATTGATTAATTCATCTGATCTTCATTTTAATCAATAAAAATTCAATTAACAATTACGTGTGAATTTTGTATCGCATAATGAACGAGCTGACCCGTTTTATTTTTAGACTACAAATTTTTTGAATAAAAATATTTTTTTTACTATTTCTTTATTATTTGTAAAATGTGGCGGAAAAATATTCAAATTTGGCAATGATTGAAGAAAATGTAATATGTAATTTTGATATTCTAATCGTCATATTGTCACTATTGTTTTTGTTACACTTTAAATTCTGATGTCATTGTGAATTTCTACAAGGTTCGAACGAACCCTATTTTTTTATTATAAATATATTCTCAAAAAGTCTCTTGAAAAAATTCATTTCGAAATAAAATTCGAAAATAATAAAAAATTCGAAAATAAAATTCAAAAAAAAAAATAAAAGAGAATTAATTAATTAAATTAAATTAAAAATATATTAGATAAAAAATCCCAAAGGTCCTCTCGTCTTAAAAACTAAACATTCAAAATGCCTAATAGAAATTCAATTTTATTCAATTATGACTACGCTGCTGATTTTATCCGTCGTCGTCCGTCATTGAGAAGCAGGCATAAATCATCATTGAACACAGTTGCAACTTTAAGATCTGTAAATCATACAAAGAAATATTTTCTTCGTAAAACTAAAAGAATAATTTTTACGCCAATTAAAAAAGTCGTTAAAACAATTGATTATCAACAACAACACGGAAGCCATGGCAATGATGTCAACACCAGTCATGGAAATGACATTAATAATAACAATATTAATAATAACGCACCACGAACACAACCAATTCCAACCACGTCAACCAGCAGTAAATCTTCTACAGCATCTGATGACGATAATCATTCTAATAGCTCCTCATCGTCTTATTCCACCCTTCGAAGATACTCAAAAGCGATGAATCCGGTGAATATAGTAAGCGTAATTATTACAAAAAGAAAACGTAGAAAATTCAAGTCAAAATATTACAACTAAAATTATAAATACTCGCATGTATATATGTCATCATGTACTATTGTAGTAATATCAATACTTTTAAAAAATGCTAAAAACTAGCACCCCAAAAAAAAAAAATCACAAAAAAATCCCCAAAAAATTCTTACAATATCACACAACATTCATTTGTAAAATTATATCATCATCATTTCGATCAGTTTTTATTATTAAGCCGAAATTCGACTATTTTTCCGACTTCATTTTTAAACATTAAGATTTTTTTCATACTATAATATTTTTGTGTAATAATGATAAAATTTACATCATATTTTTACATATTATAAATAAAAAAAATTTGATTATAAATATATTATCATTATTAAAACATATATTTGTATTTGTAATCGTTCTCTAAGTTACATCATGTTTATAATTATTAGTTGTACATAATATTAATAATAGTTTTATTATAAATAAAAAAATTTTTCATTCAAAAAAAATTATCTAAAATTGTGAAATTAATTTAATCTCAAACCTTAATCCCATAGTAAACAATAATAACCCTTATAAACAAACAAAAAAATAAATAATTAAATAAATAATTAAAAATGATGCAAAAAACTTTTAAAGATGGTAATATCGTCGCGCCTCACACCAAATTGCCTCATCCTTCCCAAGAAGAAGTTGAAAAACGCGAAGCAGAACGATTGAAAAATGTTGATGAAAAAACTGGAAAACCAAAAGAAGGTTAATAATTATAGTCGCATAAAGAAAATAAGTTGTGATCATGAAAAATATTAATAATTTCATAATTAGGTGGATCTGCCGCCAGAGCTCAAACAGGCGCTACAACTACGTTGGATGAAGTCAGACCCACTTCGAAACGAGTCTATCAAAAATAAATCAAAGTAAAAATTTTTGTCATTATAATAAATAAAACTCCACCATCATTTATTAGTTATTGTTACCATTGATAATTATTATTATGGTTGTCAAGTCTTTAACATCATAAGATAAAAAATGTACGCGCAATCGTTTGAATAATTGCAATCAAAAACATCCAATATTAAAAAAAAGTAGCTTCGAGTCTTTCAACGCAAAATTTTAGACAAATATTATTTATTACTAAACAGCATTCCAATCATATTCATGACTTTCAGATTAATAATCATCAACAAAAGATGGCGACAACCTTCAATTATGTTATAATATATCATCACAGTCATTCATGTTATTTATTATTATAATTGTAATATTTATTATAGTGATGTTAAAGATTCACCATTAATTTAATGGGAACCACGTAAGGATTGTCTATTTTATATAAAAGGCCAAGACTGCCAACGTGCTGTTTAGCGTGTTCTCAATTCAACACTCCCCTCCTTAAAGAAGTCTTTTCCCCATCCTTTGCGAGATATTGCCCAACTTTGGTTCATAAAATAGGGGTAGGCAGGCATTTACTTTAACTTGCGTCATCCACATGTCAGCAATGTTATAATTAATTTACCATATTAGTATTGCATCATTTTTTTTTGCAAGTAGACGTCATGTTCCTCACAAACAAAAATCAAGCAAACCATTACTTGCAACATTTTTGTTTAGATCGGCAAATTTTTTTGGAAAATTTTTTTTGGTTTTTATTCCGATAATATTAAACATCCTTTAATATATCTTTTTTTATATCATTAATAATTATCTTCATCTTCATGGAATTGGGAGTGGAATATTTCCGGTGATGGTGACTGATTGATTGTTTGATGAAATGTTCCATCAAAAAATGAATTAATTAAAATAATTAATTCATTCTAGTAATTAATAATAAACAAACACTCGAATATAGATAACAATGATGTAAATAAAATCAAAAGATTCTTTGACTGGCATTGTGGCAAATCTGATAATCTGTAATTGATTATCTGGATCAGACTTAAATGTTCCACAGAAATGTTCAATGGAAAATTTTACTTTTTGTCATCAATTATTATCCTACACGATACATAATTTATATTATCTAATGAAAAGGTATCATTGATGTAAATATTTATACAAAACAATAAAACAAATAAATAATTGGATGACAATAATTGTTAATTTACAAGCTGCGAGTTTTGTAAACTTTTGATAATCTACTAGTGTAAATAGCATTCGGGTGAACAGTTGTTTGAATTGTCGAAGGGCCTAATGTTTTCTTATCCATTTTATCGATTTCTTTTTTTTTTATAGAAGAAACATTAATAACTTCTTTAGAAGTTGGACTTTTATTAGGATCAGTATCCATACATTTGCATGAAAATTCAAAAAATTTGATGTATTGCTAGAAAATCTAGGCCTCGATCAAACCTTTACAAATAGCCCACTGGAAGATCTGCATCACGTGGAGGATTAATGAACAGTTGTTGACCCGTTGATATTGTTGACATCAATGCTCCAAAACTATAGGTGTCTGAATGCCATTGTTATGGTTCGTCTCTTAAAACTTCTGGTAATACTGCCGCCACTTTTATTTGATGATTTGTCAGCTGGCATTGATAATCGCAAATCACTAATACATGTATGAGTAACTTTTCTTGAAGAATATTGCCACTACGAAGATCATTGTAAATAATTTGCTATTGATTAACTCTTCTAACCCCATGAACGATCCTATTTCGACTTTAACCTTTTGATAAATAATGTTCATTTGTATTTGAATCTTTTATAGATGAAATTTTGTAACTAAATAATAAATAAATTGCTCCATTTATAAAATTTCTTTAATGATCTTGTTATGCGATAGCTTCTTTGACTATGATTTAATTCCATAGGTTTTGGATTGTTGAATCTTATTGGATGAGAATGGATAAAAAATTTAGCATACCCTTTCTTTATTAAATATATAAACTAGTGAGATAACCAATATTGTATAATAAGTAAAATGTCCCTCATAACAGAATTGGCTGCTGCTTGAACACGACGCGTATTGATTGTTTTTACGCTTTTCACGCTACGTAAACAAATATATGTTATATGCCAAGTAAAATTTGTTCTACAGTCAAATAGATACGCCTATTTGTCTTTTAAATTTCGATAGTAGGTAGACAAATAGTCAGCTTTTAAAATTCATCGTAATTTCCTTGGGTGTTTATAAATTTAATTGGATAATATCCGTTGGATTCCCGTTTGACATCTGTAATAGTAATAGTAATAGTAATAGTGAGATAAAATTGCTATCCGGATAACCTTTAACTAATGTAATAGTAATAAAAAAATAATGTTTAGTTTCACCTTTTTCTCAAATTATAATTGTGTGTTGGTTCTTTATTGCCTGATTTTTTAATTGTAGTCTTTTAATTGCTTTGATGTTGACAACACCATTTTCATTATCATTGAGCTCTTCTTATTCAAGTGATCATGTTGGAAAAGTACTTGAATTAGCAGGAAATGCATCTAAATATTTTAAGAGTAAAACATATTACATAAAGGCACTTACAACTTGCTATTCGCAGTGATGAAAGATTAAATATGAATATTAAAGTCACAATTAGTGGTGTAAGTAAATATCTCTATCGTACGAATCTAAAAAAAATTTTATGTATTAAAATAGCAATGAGTAAAAATCAAAAAATGAAATTTGAAATAATAATTGTGAATGAAAAAGTTTTAATGGAGTGAATTAGAGAATGGAGATATGAGAGAATGGGAAAATTAAAAATGGAATGGAAATCACAATAGAGTGCTTCTAACATAATAAGCACCAAACCTTCATTGATTTCTACTAATAAATGATATATATATATATAATATAAATAAATAATGATAAACGTGATATAAATAGATAAATCAAATCTAAATAAATACTAATAATGAATAATATAAATAAATAATATAAATAAATAATATTATAAATAAATAAATTTTAAATATAATAAGAATTTAAACGGAATTAGAGAATTTCGACCTACATTTCATTAAGCTCCTGAATAAAATCATCATTAAAAATCTAAAAATATAATATAAATTAAATATTTGTATATAAATTCATGAAAAATGTACATATTTATATATTTTTTTTTACTCAAACCAATTATATTCTCACCCAAATTTTGTTAATGATATTATGGTTCTGGTTGATCTTTTATAATAATTATTGATTTATTACTATTTATTCTTCCACTTCTTCATCTTCATTCTTGACGTCACTATTAATATTTAAATTGTCATTTAGATTTCTTTTATACCAACACTCATCACCTTTTATTTGCCTAAAAAAAAAATATTAAATAATTAATATAAAAGTTATAATAAATATAAAATAATCGTTGGTTTCGGTGAATCATTTATTGTCATTACTAAATATGGCGGTGTATAATCCATATTAAACACACGTGTATGAATATCTTTATATGTGAATGATACATCACCTATTCTGGTTTCGTAACGCCCAACGTATTATAGATTGCATTGACCCTTGTGACCTCTAAGCTCATAAATTAAAATTTACCAGATGTAGCATAATGAATATATATAGAACCATCAATGGTTCCATAAATAATTGTTTCTGTAAACTAGGGTTGCCATGATGTTGGTCAATTAATGTAACAATTTAGCCATACTTGGTATTTTATTGATGGCAATGAACCAGACCAAAATTTGTTGGTCTCGATGAATCTGCCTATTGCCAACCCTGATCTAAACATGTGACCCAACTTCTACGAAATTCTCCAAATGGTACATGTTTAAATTTGTCATTAACCCAATTTTGTTGTATTATATGATGTCGACAATAGGTTGTTTACAGTTGTACTATTATTATTTTTATTTGAATAATTTATTGCTTTTTATCATAATCATCAAGATGAAATCCATCTTTGGAGAATATTATTTAATGTTTTGCACACCAAAGCTACTCTAACTAGGCATATTGGATCTAAATTATTAAAATATCAAAAACTTCATTTGGAAATTCACATACAACTTTTTTTCTTGTAATAATAATGTATTAATTACAATTTTTAAATTAATCCAAATAATACTTTTCTAATAAACCTACCCAACATCAGTTTCAGATTTTCTTTACGATTTAATGTTCAGTTTTGGATTTTTCCTCACTTTTTACTTGACAATTCATCTTTGGAAAGGTGGTGACAGTACGGTGCGGGTCACTCTAACACATCAAATTCTGTGCAAAATGTTTCAAATTCAAAAAAAAAAGCAAAAAATTTTTTTTATCACTTTCATTACAAAAATGACATTTTTAATTTTTATCACGTGATTTTCCAAAAAATGCATTTATATTAATTCATCAATTTCTTCTACAACATTATCTGGAATCTTTCTATGAGACTTATATTTTTTTACAATATATTCAGCCTGTAACACTGTTAAGCCTTTCCTGTAACAGTTCATAAAATTTGCAGCCCTTCTTGCATATTTTCTAATTTGTTTCAATGGTATAGAATCAAAGGCTCTGGGAACATTCTCTTGAAGACCTTTCCATGTGTAATTACAATGTTGCCTAACATACCGTTTAGCAGCCCCCCAATACATTTCAATGTAGTTAAGCTCACAATGAAATTTTGGATAGAAGATGATCTTATGACCCCTTGCTTCAATTAATTCTTGAAGTAAGGGTTTTTTGCTTTTAAAATCATCTTGGGTTGCTAAGATATGTCTAGCACAAGTCAAAGGTTCTTCAAAAGAAACTTATAAAATAATAATAACAAGATGATTATTTTTATATTTTGATAATTGTAATATAATTATATTATGCATAATAAACTAACCATTTTTTTTACAGAATGCTTTTAGGCCAGTCCTCTATAACCCTCTTTCCTCCAAAATTATCTTCATTCCTTTTGGTTTTCCACACAATTTTTCTACATGAAAATCATCTGGGAATACCATTTGTTGAACTTTACCATCAAAAATAGTATCCCTCATAGTTGGCTGCCCCCCTGCAGGGTTTAGATTCATTGTAAATGCATTCAATGCATCATCTGCCACTTTAGTATGACTTGATGAATGATCAAATGCAAATACTGCAATACTATTAGGATGTGTTAGTTCAAAAATTGGTATGGCCTTGTTAATAATCTAAAAATAATAAATCTATTAATTATTGATTATCCTTTATCTTGATATTGATCTTTTTTTCTTATTTGATCTATTAGCTGTTCAAGATTCCACCAGCTGTCTGCATTCTTTCCAGGACATATGATGACTTGAGCATCATGAGGAAAGTTCTCTTCAACCTCTAATTTTTGTTCATCTGATAATTTAAGTCTACCAATTGTTTCAGTTAAAAAGTTGCTTACATGCATTGTTCTCCCTTGACCTTTCTATCTCAGTGGTTGGTCTCCAGCCTGTTTTTTCATCATCATTAGATTGGAATGTTGTTTCATCCTGTGTTACTAATACATGTATCTTTTCATCTTCTTCCAATTCAGGGTTAATTTGAATTTCCAAATCATCACCAGTAAATTTAGGCATCAATTTCTGGTAACTATTGTGTCATTATGATAAATCTAATTAATTAATTGTATATATAAAACAAGAATAAAATTAAAATTACCCTTCAATGAATTCTAAATATTTCTTTCTATATTCAACAACATCTTCACACTCATGTCCATCAACATAAACTCCTTTTGCAAATTTAGAATAAATGAATCCCATCTTTTGAGCCATCTTTTTGCTGAACTGGCACTAGTGTAAGCAAGCATTTATATAATTAACTTTATATTATAAATTATAAATAAAAATATTTTATAAAAAATATTACCTTATACTTGTTTTATTTTTAATTCCAATTATTGATAAGATCTCATCAGATACATTATCACAAAATTTAGAATTTGTTATATCAAACTTATTTATTCTTAAATATGAAAAAATTTTGGATCTCACATCCTCATCATCTAATATACTGCTTCCAATTAAATGTTGCCCATGTCTATTTTTGAACAGCTTTCAAACATACTCTATATCTGGAGACAAATTTTCTGCACTTAATTTTAATTCAATTTTGTTTATAGCTAAGCTTGAGTAATTTTCCTTTTCATGA